AAACAGAGAAGGATCAATAAAAGCAAATTATATATGAATACGTCATAACACTTGCTACTTTGTGTAATAACTAAAAATAAATAAAAAATAGTGCCTACAACTGTATCTTCAACAAACAGGCAAAAGGGACTGAACTGACACTCTTTCCCCCTTCCAAGACAACTAAACCAAAACAAACAAGAATTCATAAAAGAATGACTTTTAATGACACAAACTATATGACATGACAGAGAGAAGGGAGAAGAACATGACAAGTTCTATGACCAACTTAGTTTCCTATTGTAAGAAAGTTCTCTGTTCCCAGCACAGAGCATGTAGTGTCCAGCAAAGCCCAGAGGGCCACCTGCTTGGGAGGATGGAACTCAGAATGGAAGAGAGGGTTAGAATGTGGATAGCAAAGTATCAGAAAGTAGAGGGAGACCCAAAAGAATCCCAGAGTGGTGACAGACACCAACAAGTGAGATTATGTGAGGTCAATGAAAGAATTCTGCAGCACACTCAGAATGCAACACACGGTACTCACAACAGCGCCTGTTTCCATCAGCCAGTGTGCAGGATTTATGAATCACAGGACTACGGGGGAGATTTCTCTCCTCACTGGTGGGAAGTAATTAATCTGTGCCAACCATTTCTCTGATTAGAATATAGGCTAAAAACAATACTGTAAAAGACAAAAATTCTTCCCAAGCAAATTAGCTGGATCTTACAAAGGCCAAAAATATATATATATAAAAAACAAAGGTCAAAAATATTTATAGGAACATAAAAATAACTAGTACCTAATAAGGTGAACCTGACAGGTGTGCAAAGTAGCAGGAAGTATATAGATCATGATGAGGAAAAATATTAACCATTCATAACTAGCACAGTTGTTAGAATCAGCAAACAATGATGTTAATTTTATCATCCCTGTTCAAAAACTTCAAGAGACATTGAAAATACCAAATGAATTGACTGAGCATCTATAACAAAAGTTACAATATTTGTAAGTTTAAAAATGCCATATATGAGAGTAATGTTATATTAAAGACAATAGTAATATGATGAAAAACATAGAGATACGGCAAAACAAGTTATAGAAAGTGAAGCAAAGAAAGAAGAATGTTAAACAATTAGAATAGCATTCTGTATCTCTAGGAAAGATCGAAAAGGATAACATGTTTGTAACAGAAATCATGTTAGGAGAAAAGAAAGAACAAACTCCAAAACCTCAAGAACAAAGGACCAGAAAGTTTTAAATTTGACAATGACTATAACATTACAATAGCCAAGTATCTCAAAGAACCACAGCCATGAAATTATCTGGAAACTACAAAAACAAGTAACATTATCTTCAAACTTATCAAAATTAATGAAAAGGAGAGATCTTAAAGTCAGAGGAAGGTGTATCATGCATGAAGAAAAAAAGAGGAATGTGATAGATTTTGCACCAGAAATAATAAAAGTTAGAACATAGAACAACATCAATAGTTTACTTAAAAATCAAAGAAGTCATTCTAGAATGCTACATACACAGGTGCTATTCAAAACTGAAAGCTAAATAATTTTACACAGACCCAGTCTTAAAGATTTCATCACACTTGGAGTATAGGAAAGCCCCAAGGCAGAAGAAAATTGACACTTGCTGGAAATATGGATATGCATCAAGAAATGAAGGGCACAAAAATTTATATCTACAGGGGTCTTATGGCTCAAATATAAAAGATCCTCCACATGCTCATGTGGTTTGATCCCAGCTAGTGGTACTATTTTAGAAGGTTCTGGGAACCTTTAAGGTTTGGCTAATGACGGGAAGTAGGTAACTAAGGGTGTATCTTGAAGGTTACACGTGTCTCTAGTTTCTGTCTCCCTCTCTGCTACCTATCTTATACGAATTGAAGAACATCTATGACACAATCTCACTTCCTTGGTGATCTGCAATGGAGTCATGGAGCCATGGGATGAGCACCTTAAAAAATAATAAAATTAAATAAGGTCTTTCTGACTTTTCTCAACTTGTTAAAATGTGTTTATTAACTAAAGAGTTCATAGCTGCAAGGAGAATAAAATATGTAGCTCATATTTTCAGCACCATAGAAATTCATTTTAGAAAGAAATCTCAAGTGCATTTAATGAGTGCATTTAATGTGGAAATGTTACAAATGAATGTTAAACTCAGAAAGGTTTGTTCTTTTGATACATGCTGAGTTTTTAGCAGCTGTTAGTCTGTTTTATGCTGGGTAAATAAGAGGTTAAGGTTCATACCATGGAACGCTTATCAAACTGGGGGATATAAAATAAAAATGTAAAATACAAACCACCTAGATATTATACTCAGTGCTGTATAAGCCATAAGAAATACAGGAAATAGGAGGATGATATTTAGATAGTGTGGTCATAAAAAGCCTATGTGGATTTGGTGACCATAACTTAAACAGGAAGAACAAGAGGAAGAGAATAGTTTAAGGAACAGGGTCTGGGAAAGCTCTGGCTAGACCAGCAGAGTGGAGGGAGAAAGTCTATGCATTCCAAAGGCCCAAGGAAATCGAGCCTGACTGGACTTTAAGGAGAGTGAAAAAAGACAGCTTATTATAGAAGTAGGTGGAGGCCAATGACAGAGGATCATGGAGGAACTGGGATTTTATTCAAAGTGAAGTAGGAAGTTATTTCACATGTTGTAAAAGTTACCATTATGTGTGAGAGGATATATATGGGGTGTGTATACAACAGCATGTGGATGGAAGTCAGAGTACCACTCTATGTACTAACTTCTCTCCATTCACCTTTATGTGGGGTACGGGGAATTGAACTCATGATGCCAGTCTTCCACAGCAGGTACCTCAACCTCCTAAGCCAACCAGGCAGCTCCATTTTATAAATAGGCTAGAAACACAATTAGTTTTTTTAAAATATTTATTTATTTTTATTGTTTTACACTGGTCTCATATTGCAGCCAGGCTGGTCTGTAATTCACTGTGTAACCCATACTGGCTTCAAACTCATGCCACAGCCTCTTGAGTGCTGGAATTATAGGGATGAAACACCATATCTGGGTCCAGAATTTTGGTTTTAAAAGAACACCAACCATTGAATGCAGAATCAACTGGAGAAAATATTACAGTTCAAATTGTCACAGATGATACCTTTTTATAAACACATGAATATGCTGAATTATATATAAATCTTTAAACACAATAATGTACATCATGGAACTTAAAGGAATATAAAAAGAGAACACAACAAAACATAATTACTCAAGACTGAGCTTCTTGCTTATAATTAAAAACAAACTAGTTAAAAGCCTGAAAAGAAGAGAATATATGAAAATTAGAAAAGCTTAGAATAAGGAAGCCTGTGCATGGGAAACAATAACACCCCTGGTGGATATTGTGTTAGGATCCAGATTTACTACACAACTGGGGAAATTTTCCCCTTAAATATAGTTGGTTTAACATGACTGAGACTTCCAGAAAAACCATTCTTAGAGATAACTCTCTCAACTCAGAGCAAAGAACTCCCACAGAACAAAGACTTCTGGAGCAAAGTTCCCACCAGTACATCCTACAACATATGACAAAAGTGGGCTCCTTGAGGAAGGGCCAACAGAACAACGGATAGGAGATTTGGAATGTTGCAAGGGGGAAAGTATAATTTCGTACAGATGGATTTTATTGGCTTTTATTATCTCTTGCTAGTGTCTTGATTTACAGTCAGAAGCAAAGCAAAACCTTTTAAAATGCTAAAATTACTGACTCTATTAAGATTAGTAATTAATCTTGAAACTCATAGAAAATGTGTGTATAAAATTTAACAGAAAGCACACAAATTGGTTTAAAATTGTTGTTGTGTCACTTGTAAACAGTTATTGTGTGCAAAGGGCAAGCTGCATCCACTACCAGATTGTGACTGATTACTACATTCTATTCTGGAGTTAATGTATACCCATTTAAGTATTTAGTCTATGTTCAAAACTTGAACGAAACTAATTCTTTTGGATAGTATTTTACCTTTTAAATGTATTGAGAATAAACTCATTTTTAAGATAAGCATGTGTAGCATCTATGAATTTGTAAAACCCGTTAAGTTTCAAAGTTCAAAGATTACAAGAAAGATGTCGAACTTTTTTTCTGATACCTATATAAACTAAACTGCTCATATTTTATTTTCCAGTATACTCCTTTATTTCAACTTGATTAAAAATATTGACTCTTAAGCCGAAAATTAATACTCCTTTTTAAAATTTTCAATGTAGTCAATGTAGTGTTTTTGATTGCTTTTAGTAAAAATAATGAAAAAAAGAATTAGTAGGTTAAAAAACGCTGATCTACGCATACATTGACAAACGTTGCATGTTTTAATTTTCTAAATTCTACTTAAAACGGAGAAATGGAAGCTCAAGAAGATAGCTTTAGACAAAAGAAAAATTCATCACTTAGAACTTGAGTGTGGTGTGTTGAGGCATTTCTATAGTCCTAGCACTTGGTAGAAGACTTGTGAATTGGAGACCAGCAAGATCTTGATAAAGGATTACGTACTTAGACTCATTCACCAAAGAAACAAGAAATGGAGATCTGCTAGATGTTATTGTCTAGAAGAGAACTGGCCATTGACTATATCTCAGCCGCACTCCATGTTTCTCCATGACTTAGAACCTACAAGCCAAGGATGCTCCGGTACAGCCCACTTCCCAGGCAACACAGGCTCCGCCCAGCTAGTCAGACAGGATCCTTCCCCTCTAGGCCTCCTCTGCCACTGCCTCCCTCCCTGTTTTCTTCAGCCCTCCCTCACATTCCCATAGCCCGCATTTTCCCAAAAGTTATGGAGCAAGAAGAACTGAAACATTTAGCAGAGGCGTGTGAGTGCAGGCAAAGACCGTGTTTATGCTATCCACCGAGACGGCTTTTCAGGCATCGCTCAGGGCAGCCCACAGGCACCGGCCCCTGAATGCCCACGGGTCCTAGTACCACAGTTCGGCGCTCTGATTGGCTGTTTGACTCGTCCACTGAAGGAACCCGGATGTGCCTGTGGAGCTGTGTTGGCAATCTGCGCGCGGAGATTTGGGCACTCTTTGGGTGCCCAGAGCTAGGCGGATGGCTCAGGATTGGGCGGGTTTCTCTGAGGAAGAGCTGAGGAGACTAAAGCAGAATAAAGGTAAGGAGTATTTGCGCGCTGGTGTGGAGTCTCAAGTCTGAAGGACTGGAGGCCTTCCGAGTGAGTGAGGGGGCGTGGGGGCTGGAGCTGCAAGTCGGGGGACAGGGATGGTGGGGTTCCCCAGGTGGCTGTCTTAGCTGCAGAGGCCAGAGGGATGGGCCCAGAGGGTTTCTCTTTTAGCATCCGTTTTCTAATGATTTGATGTTTTCCTGTAAAAAGGGATGAGGCTAGGGAGAGAAAGCGAAGCCACCACCTGAGTGGCTCCAAAGGGAGGACTGTAACACAAATCATTGGTTGTAGACTTGTGGTCAGGGTGAATGAAGAGTAGTACTTAATATACAGCATCATAATTGTGAACTTATAAAACCAGTTATTGGGAAAGGGATCATGAGAGTGAATAAATGCAAAAGAAGTGATATGTATGATACATCTGTATTATGTTTACTTCTGACTACCAGATGATTTTGCGTTTCTTTCCAGTTCTTGGGAGTCAGCAAACCAAAAGAATTTTTTGAGAGGGTATATTTGAAGTGCGTGTATGTGTTTGTGTGCACAAGCACAATGCACTCACATGTCTGTCTCTACTGCCTTCAGGGACACCTGAAATCTGGTGCCTTCCCCCAGGGCCTTATAGACTTATTAGAGGTCACTGTACGGGCTTGCTATAACGCTGCTTCTGATTAATTCAGTTTTCTGGTACTTGATAGGAAACGCTGTAAAACACTCTTGACCTGTGATTGAAATTTCACAAAATTGTCTGTGGTAATCTTGGTTGTGCCCATCACATCTGTGAGAACTTTCTGTCACTCTTGGTAACATTTGTAAATACTTTATTTAAGGGTAAAATTAAATAAATTCTTCCATATCTACAGTTTTTTTTGTGAGAAATTTGGATATGGCTTGGGTACTTTGCAATTTTTAACCTCGATATGAAAATTATCTAGGGTTGACAGGTGCAAAAGGAAGTAAGTTACTAACATGAGGTCAATGTGCCCTATATACATTTGGGAAAAAATGGGCCGGTCCAGGGGTCTTTAAAAACTATCATGAAATTATCGTACCAGATGTGTCCCAACTGATGCTGTCCAGCTGGATGCTTTCAGATTCTTTTATTCTATGAATCATTCTCCATTCACATACCTATATGTACAAAATACAAGCACCTAGAGCTGGTCTGACTCTCAAGTTCTTAGTATCTGCTTTTGAATGAAACATGTCTGGTCTGGGGGTCTCTTCCATCCTTGTCAAGGGGAATGCTAGCCCGAAATGAAACATAACTTCTGCATTAGAGATGTAAAGATGAGCAGGACATCGTTGCCTTTACAGACCTTGTAGATTAATGAGACAGACTGTAAAATAATGTGGTAGTAGATAGTGACCAAATGGTAGCCATAGAGCAAGTTCACGCTGAGGATTTAATGGACACTGGGGGTATTTCATGAAGGCTAAATGTTGCCTTTAGTTTGTCAAGGCATTGGTTTAATGTAGGACACCTGTATGTTTGTTATCTAAAAAGTATATTAAACGATTTCTTTAATTTGGATTTGGTTAGAAGGTGATGAAAACCTAAACTTCAAGGCCTGTCACTTGGTTATTAAATGCCAGATTGTGGGTATAAAATCACTCATCTATGACATCTGTGAGAACAGAACACGTATCTTCTCATCTTTTTATAGCCATAGTGGAACACAGTGATCAGCACAAAAATACCAAGTATTCTACCTCGGGTTTCCCAGTTTTAAAGCTGCAGAAACCAAATCCTCCTTGAAGCTGTTAAGAATGCAGTTTAGTAATCTAGGAAGATGGGATCTGTTGCCAGCAAAAATAAGTACAGGGTACTTTTTGAGACACTCGAGTGCATGTTCCGTCACGAGTGTTCTTAGCCACCTTGTTAATAATATTCAAAAGTTAGAAACAAACCACTTGTTTGCTAGCAGGTGAGAGGATACATAATATGTGTTAGTTGGTCAGACCTTATTAATCACTAGCCACATTCATTAATAATGAATTTGTATAAATTACGTTAATATTTGCGAAAGGAGCACGTTGCAGCTGAGTAGATGATGGTCTAATAGAGTTTATATGTGAACAAAATTAGGGAAAGCAGGTATGTCTTAAGACTCTCTGAGCAATATCAAAGGAGTGAAACAGAATCCTGATTGGTAGAGAGTCAAGGGAGTGTGCTGGGAGGGATAAGTACATACAGAAGCTCTGGTAATTAAGAAATTAAGCTAGAACAGTTTTAATTGAAGCAACAAAAAAACCCTTGAAAGCGTAGCCAATTGTTTAGAATAATGAAGGTTTGTTTTTCAGTCTAGTGTCATGTGTAACATAGGTTGCCAGTTGAAGCTGATACACAGTCATCCATATTACCTTTTGATGCTGTCACATGGGAGTTATTTTTGGAAGAAGAAATGATTGGAATAGAACATTGGTAATTAAATGGTTTCACTAGCAAATAACTTTAATAACAGTAAGTCATATAGTTTTAGGGACTGGACATTTGTATGTAATTGAAATGGTGTCATGGGGAGAGGGGTTTGTCAACCACAGTCATTGACATCTTAAACTGAATTATTTTCAGTCATACAGATTGGAAGAGTGTATGGCATGCATATACACAAATATATGCCATAGATACACATACATACAAATATGTATGATGTATATATGTACACACACATGGTCATGGTTCACATGTAAAATATGGAAGAATGCAGTGCAACCATGCTGCCAGTTTAAAGATAAATATTTATTTCTATGTGTCCTTTGTTATTTTTTATGATCACTTATTTATTGTATGGGCCCCTTGGCCATAGCATAGGTGTGGCAGTCAGAGACTGTCTTGTAGGGGTTAGTTCACTCCTTCTCCCATGTGAGTCCTAGGAGTCAGAGCTCAGGTCTTCAGAGCTAGTCAGTCAGAGCTCAGGTCTTCAGGCTTGGTGACAATACCTGCTCGTTTATCTCACCCACTGCTTTTATTCTTGATCCTAGGAGTCTTGTTCGTCTCTTTGATTTATTTAGTAATTTCCTTGCTATTCTTAACATTTTGTACAATGATTTTTAAACAATTTTGCCAAATTTCAGGGAATAGGAATTTGATTAGAATTGCATTGAATCTTTAGATCAGTTTGGAGATACTTAATATCATCATGTCATTAACACTACCAGGGAGGCTGCATATGCTTCCATTTATCTAGACCATCTGTATGTAATGCCATGTAACAAATTTTAGAATTTTCCCTCACACAAATTTTGAGTGTCTTTTGTTTTTAGACTTTTGTTCCCTAGCTGTGTGGCCATTTCTAGTATTGAAATATTCTCTCTTTAGTTACCATCTCTCGGATAGTAATGTGTGGACATAAAAGAAATAATAGATGTTTTAAAGACAAGGAGTATGAATTGATTCTAACCATCAACAAGGAGCAGAACATCAGAAAGCAGAAGCACAGTGAGGTACCACCTTGTGCTCTTGTGCTTGCCAAAGTTAAAACATTAAACAAGACAACACCAAGTGATAGAAGGGATTCTTGCACATTGCTGGACAAAATATGTCTTGCAGAGCAGTTTAACATCAGTTTTATACTTTATCACCCAGTAGTTTGTGGGCAATATCCAAGGCAAAATTTAGTACGTAAGGAGATGTAACAGGCAGGTTCACAGAAGTAAATCTAAAACCAACCTCAGTGTCCCTCAGGGGAAGAAGATAGGGAAACTCTGGTTTGTCACTCTGAGGGATGTGTCTGAGCACTAGAAATGAATGATTGTAGCAGTGTCAATAGTATGGATACTGTTAGTGTGACGCTGAGGAAGAAATACTTGCTTGTGGTTTTGATGAAATTAATACTTTTTAGAAATATTTTTAGACCAATAAGGGAATGATCAACACATGAAGACAGGGGTTAGAGAGAAGGAAGTAAGTACAAGACACACAGTAGATCTCACACACATAGCCTCTCGGTTAAATTACACACACACACACACACACACACACACACACAAACACACACACACAAAATTCCCTGGGGACTGAAGAGAAGACTTAGCATTTATGAACTCTCACTGATCTTCCAGAGGATGTGGGTTCAGTTCCCAGCACCCACTTGGCAGCTCACACCCTTAAGTAAACTACAATTTTTGGGATCTGATGTTCCCTTCCTGGTCCCTCTGACCGACATATACATGTACATATGCAAGTACATTGCTGTACTTACATGCAAGCAAAACACTCATAATACATAAAATCCCTTTCTAAATTATTTAACTTTTCAGGGTTTTCCCCTCCTTGCTTTTGATTATCCAGTTTTTAAAATATTAATAGTAATGATATTCATCAGTAATGTTTACAAAACTAACATCTGCTTGTTGGCCTCTGATATCTTTTGCTTTCTAGTTCTGAAGATTAGACTCAGAGTGTCATAATGTTTCCTCCCCTCTGAGCTGTACCGTCAGCCTGGCTTTTAGCTGGGATATGCCACTGCAGATTAAGTCGCTTTCCACTATAGCATAATATAGGTTTTGATGATTGTTACAGTCCCCTGTATTTAAGACCACGTGCAGTTCATATAAAACTGCTATTTAGGAGCTTGAGCCAGAGCTAAGTGGTTGAGCACTTGCCTGGCATGTGCAAGGTCTGGGTTCAGTCCAACACCACAAAATAAATAAAGAAGTAAGTAAATAAATAAAAATAGAAATAATTTTTAAGAGCCTGTTTTTAATTGTGAAAATCAATGTCTGGCTGTATTGGCCGAAATTACTTTAATGACAACAACTGACTAGAAGTTACTGTGGCTAGTCCTCCTTGTACTAGATTTACGCTCCTCTGTTGGCTCTAAGTTTCCAGAATGTAGTATTTAAACAGTATGTTCTATTTTCACATGCCCTGATTGCTAATGAAAAATATATCATTCTAAGCATCATATCTATGCTCTGTAAAGAATATAAAGTACAATAGACATAGTTGAGTTACAAAGGAACTAATTATTCAGTTAATGTTTTCAGTTGAAACCCAAATCAGCGTCAGTGACATTTTTGGGTGTTTTTAATAAGAACATTAACCAATAGTAATCTTTATTGTAAAGGAAGACACTTTGTATTTGCTGAGAAAGTCCATGTCTTAGTTATTTTTCGTGTGGCTGTGATAAAATACTGTGAGAAAAGCAACTTAAGGGAAAAGGATTGTGTTGGCTCACAGTTGGAGAGTACTGGCCATCATGATGGAGAGTCCCTAGAGGCAGAAGCTTGGGGTGACTGGTTGTGGCGCATCTTCATTGGATATTAGCAGCAAAGCTCAAAATACCCAAGATACAACTCACAGACCACATCAAGCTCATGAAGAAGGAAGACCAAAGTGTGGGTGCTTCAGTCCTTCTTAGAAGAAGTAACAAAATACTCATGGGAGCAAATATGGAGACAAAGCATGGGACAGAAACTGAAGGAGGGGACGTCTGGAGACTGTTCCACCTGGATATCCATCCCATGTGTAGTCACCAAAGGCAGAGGCTGATGTGGATGCCAGGAAGTGCATGCTGACAGGAGCCTGATGTAGCTGTCTCCTTAGAGGTCTGCTTGAACCTGACATATACAGAGGTGGATGCTCAAGCTAACCATTGAACTGATCATGGGGTTCCCATTGGAAAAGTTAGAGAGAAAACTGAAAGAGCTGAAAGGGTTTGCCACCCCATGAGGAGAGCAACAATACCAACCAACTAGAGCTACCAGGGTCTAAACCACCAGCCTGGGAGCACATAAGGAGGGACCCATGGCACCAGCTGTATATGTAGGGAAGGATGGCCTTGTTGGGCATAGGTGTGAGAGAAGTCCTTGGTCCAGTGAAGGCTGGATGCCCCAGTGTGGGAGAATTCGTGAGTGGGGAGGTGGGAGTGGGTGGATGGGTGGGGGCACATCCCCCTAGACCCAGCCGGCGGGGGGATGGGGTAGGGGGTTCCTTATTGGGGGGAAGTGGGAAAAGGGAATCACGTCTGAAATGTAAATAAAATACCCAATTAACAAAAAAAGAAAGCAGAGAACAATGAATGCCTGTATTCAACTCACTTTCTCTCTTTTACACAATCAGCCCAGGGAACCATGTCACTCACAGTGGGTGGGTTTTTATCACTTCAGTTAACCTAATCAGTAATCCCACATGTATGCCTATAGGTCTATCTCCCAGGTGATTCCTAATCTCATCAAGTTGATGATTCAGATTAACTAACACAGGACACAATTTTTAATATTATCTCTGTCTTAAAAAACAAACACCATTTTCCATGCATAGCTCATTCTTTCCTTGTCTCCGTGGGTTAAGTACAGCAGATAGTTTACAACTGGAATGACAGATGTTGAGTCCAACCAACAAGTCTGAAGCAAAGCTGATGATTGCAAAGTTTTCGGCTTTACTTTGCAAAGTTTTCATTGATATACTTGTACTTCAGTGGTTGGTGTGTAGAATTTAAGCTTCACACTTGAAAAGTCTTTGGTTGGCTGGATTTTGTTCTTTTTGTGCTGGGAATGAGCTCAGAGCCTTGCTAGGCAAATACACCACTACTTTGTGACACGCCCAGCCTTAAAAGTCCTGTTTGACTTACTCACTTGTAAGGACTCATAACTTTATACCATGTATTATGAGAGGAAAATTCCTTAATGATTTGCCCTAAGAGTTTAATCTTGGTATAAATCATCCCCCAAAGGAGCATCATTTGTGTTTTAAAAAGAACAACATCCCTGTAATTGTCTTGTCTTTCTCTGTTGTTTGTTTCAGGCTGCTGTTAAAATTAGCTTGAATCCATTGATTAGAACTAATCTTGTGTTTGGTGAATGAGTATGCCTTTAACCGATCTCTGTAAGCTAAAGTGTTGCTGGAAGTAGCATTGAATCCGAGGAAATGATGTCACATGTGAGAACCAGCCGTTGTTGTTTCTGTAGAACAGGAAAAAACAAAACAACAACAAAACAAAAAGCAAAAAAACCTGAATCAATCCAACAATCCAATTGGCAACTTAGTTTCATCAAAATTAGTCAGTTCTTTCATAGACCTCAAGTCGAAATGAAAACTTTGCCTGTGTCCTTGGACCTTATTTAATGAAGTAGATTTCCTATAAAGATGAACTGAGGACTAGGATGGGTTTTGTTAAATATTAACAGTGTGATATAAGAACTGTTGTGCCAGGAAGATGGCTGACTTTTCCTGGGTTTTCAAGATAGAGGATGGGAAGGAGGGGGCCCCTGCGAATTACAGACATTTAATGCCACTGCGTTATATTTTTAGAGAAATGATCATTATTTATTGTTCAACAAGCATGCTTCATTCGCTCTCTTTTATGTAGATCCATTTGAACCTCAGCGCCGTCTCCCTGTGAAAAAAACTCGACAGCAGCTTCAGCGAGAAAAAGCCCTTCTAGAGCAGAGCCAAAAGCTGGGCCTTCAGGATGGATCGGCCTCGGTGCTCCCAGAGCAGCTGCTCTGTACACCCAAACAGAGAGCCAACAGTCAAAAGCCACGCCCTTCTTCCCCTGCTGCCCCCAATCCCTGCACACTCCCCTCTTCCTCTGGCGATGGAAAGCCACACGGTGTTGAAAGCCAGCCACAAGAACCAGGACTCGGGAATTCCCACCATGGTCACAGAAGTGCCGAGATTCAAACTCCAAAGCCAGATTGCAAAGTGGAGAAAAAGAAAATGGAATTGTTAGTAAGTCTATGAGACTTTTCATCTTTTCCTCCCAGGGACTTAGAAAAAATATAGTTTGTTGAGGTTTTTCCTAGAATCTACCACCTAAATATATTAGGAGCTAAGTATTTTGTTTTATCATTTACTCTTAACAACAGCCTTAAAATTCATGCTTATTGTTTTCACCTTATAGAGGAATTATTTAGGGCTTAGAAAAGATACAATTTTCTTAACACTAGACAGGAGCCACATCCCAGTAAGGCTAGCACCTGGGCTAAGGAAGAAGCTGTCAAGTCTTGAGACCACAGTGACCTACACAGTGAGTACTGGGCTGAGCTGAGCAGTACAGCAAGAGCGTTCTCAGATTTACACATTCACACCCAGGCACATCTGCAGACTGGGGACTGTCTCCCTAAAGCTAACATACATAGCCAGTAAGTAACAGAGTTGAGGTATCTTTGTATTAGAACCTATATAGTTTAGCTCTACCCATATAGAAATTTCTATTTTCTAACTTGTGAATTCTTAGTAATGGAAAGAAAAGATGGCATTTGGTTTTGTTTTTCTTTTTCTGAATTTTTTCAAAGTGTCTTATCTTTTTCCCATATCAGATATATTCCTCATCTCTGCTGCCCCAGCTTTTGTGTCATGAGAGTCCAGAGTCTGATGACAGAATTCATTTTAATGAGATACATAAAATTGCATTAATTAAGTTTGTTTGCTTGGTTTTTGTGTTTTTACAGCAGAGCCTCAGTATATCTCAAGAAGGCTTTGAATTCATGATTGTGATGGACATTTTAGATGACAAGTCAGTAGGAAAATCATTGGATTTTAAATACTTTGGGACATCCAAAGAGACAGTAATTTGAGGAAACACTGATTTTAAAAAGTAAGAATTTTGAAATGATAAGCTTGGGAAAGGAGAGCTATATCCTGCAATGTTCTATGATGACATCTCAGTTTTCTGAGAGCGGCAAAGGCTAAAGGGGAGTAGGGAAGTGAAAGAGAGCACGGATGAAGAGGAGCCTGCCTCCTGGGGTAGCATAGGACCAGAGCTCCAAGGGGAAAATATCCTGGTTAAAGTAGTGATTAGAGAAATGACAGGTGTCTGTACAGTTTGGGAGAGGGACCCAGGTGAAGTGGGCCTGAAGTGTCTGTGGAGTGGAACTGTGAGGAAGGGCTGATGCTGACCCCGGTGGAGGCAGGGTTAGGAAAGAAAGACTGGATGGGCTGGACAGATGCCAGCAGGAGGAAGAAAGATCGTTGCTGTCACCTTTCAGTTGATAGCTTTATGCCTGTTGAAATGTGCATGCACCTTTCTCAGAGCCAGACATGTTAGGAGATGCAGTGCATGTTTTAAGACCTTTGACTTTCTGTTTTACTGTATTACACTTGCCTTTAGCTAAGCCAACTGCTCATTTAAAACTAAGAGTTGGAGATAAGGGACTCATATTTGTAGTATACATTCATACATGTGTATGTAATAAATAATAAAGGCTGTCGACTTAAAGGGGGGTCATGGGAGGGGTTGGAGGGAGGAAAAGCAAGGGCAAAGTGATGTAATTCTGTTTAGTTAAAAACCTGTTTTAACCTTTTTTTTTTTTAATTTGGAGAATAATGAGCAAAATGAAAGAAAACATAAGAAACAAACTGGCTAAGATGTTGAGGAAATCTAGACTTTTCATAAAGAAAATTCTAGAAGGTAAAACATGACATCAATCTCATACCAGTGTGCTTTGACTTCCGTTTTACATTTGTTGTTTTCCACGCATATATTTCTTTGTACTATGAAAAGAATGTCACAGTACTTGCACTCCTAGTTCGTGGGTTCCTAGATTATACACATATATAGATTTCAGAGGTCCAAGTTATGGAAGCCTCTTTACTTCAGACCATGTTCTTTGTTCGAATTAGAACCGAATAATGAATTGCAGATGGGTTTCTTGTAAGGGAATTTTTGAAAGAAAATATATGTAATCTGCCTGATTAAATTTTGTGCGTAGGAGACAGAATGGTAAGGTGTGGTGTTGGGTAACAAGTCTTTTTCATAAATTCACTTTTGTGCCTTTTTTTTTTTTTTTCAGGCAAGAGAAATCTCGTTGGGAAGTCCTCCAACAAGAACAGCGACTGATGGAAGAGAAAAATAAACGTAAGAAAGCCCTTTTGGCTCAAGCCATTGCGGAAAGGTGAGGCAACCACCTCAGCAGCCTGTGACCTACAGGCATCTCTGTAGAGCTCATGTTTATTCTCCCATGCCTTCCCCAATAAACCGATAGTTTCACTGCAGCTTTAGTATACTTTAAATGATACTGATATTGAAATTCTGGTTCTACCTTTTAGGGAGAACTTTTGTTTTAAGTAATGAGTCACTTGTGTCAGCTGCAAGTGAGATGGCATCAGTGTTAAGCAGCATCTGTTAACACACAGGCACAGGGCAGCAGACGTAGGTGTCGGTGTGCATGAGTGAGCAGTAAATGCAGATTTTAGTTTGGATGTGATAGCATCAGGCATGTAGAGGAATAAGTGCACTACAGAGTGGCCTACACTGTTGGAAACCTCACTGTGTTTCTTAAATAATTCACTGTGTTTCACTGGTAACTCCCAGCAGCCATCATATACACCATGTGAGGTCTGATTTTATGTCTTCTCCTGTGCTATGTCATCCTGGCCCCACCTGCAGCGTTCCCCATGGAAGCCGTTCCTCCCAGCCTCTGCTGCCCTTCCTGCACTTTGCATGCTACTTTCTAGTCTTCTGTGGCCTCAAGGTGTGTCAATTAAGTAGTGACTGAACTGAGTTCGAGCAAATATTCAGTGACGTTTAAGTCATCCAGAAAGGAGAGGTGGAACTTGTCTGCTCTGCTAGCATTCCCAACAGGGAATTCCCAAACAGGAAGATTGTTTTAAGTTTAAGATTAGCCTAGGCTACACAGCGATACAGCAATACCCTGTGTTAAACTGGTGTTGCTTGAGGCTTGAGTTGAGTAAGGGTAGAGAAGGTGAGAGGAAGATACTTAGAAAACTCAGAGAGCGAAACATTTGGTAAAGGGTTCTTTCCCCCTTCTAGAACAACTTCTCATGAAGCATAATAAAGATACAACTCACAAGTTAACTTATATTTTAAGAAAAGAGCAAAATATGAGTTAATAATACCATCTTTTCCCCTACAAGTGATTATGCTTTTAAAAGAATTCTCTTAGTCTTTACTAAGAGTAGAGACTGCTTATTGGGGATTTTACAAACGAACGTAGGTATATTCAACTTGCTGTAGTGGTATACACCTGTAATCCTGGCACTTGGAAGGTAGAGGCAGACAATCGTCAGTGCAAAGCCAGCTTTGGCCATGTTGTCCCCTATAAGAAAAAGAGTGGATAGATTCCATACTTCTCTGCTGTTGATTAAGACAGAATAACATAGAGATGGCAGGGTAGAGAAATGCGACAGGGTTATATTATTAGTAATGGATAATGAAGTACTTGAAGTAAGACTTGTGCTGGTTAGTGAGTGTGGACAGAAAGGGGAGATCTGTGCCTAATGCAGAGAAAGTCAAGAGTGTAAGCTGCACTTTGGTGGTGTCACTGGAGGAGGTTCTACTCCCTAGAGAATGTGTGTGAATCTTTGAAATGAGCAGATTAGTAATTAAAGGTTCGAGTTTCTGTTTATTACTCTGTTTCTGGCCTCCCTCCCTCCCTCCCTCCCTCCCTCCCTCCCTTCCTTCCTCCTTTTTTTTTTTTCTGTGTGTACACTTGGCTATGGTGTGGAGACAGATAAGTGATTGAATCAGGTGTGCTTTTCAACAGAAACCAGCGAAACAAGATGAGCCTGAGGAAATTGAAAGCATAGATGTTTTTAGACAAGGAAATGTTATGTAGTTAGACTGTGTCTTCATGTCCAGTTTGGGTGGAAGATGAAATGGACTTAAGAAGGAGAATGGGCTTTGAAAAGCTGTGTTGGATACTTCCATGTGAAGTAATAGTGACATATCCCTTCAGGACTTCTTAGAGAACGGATGTAAGTTCACAAATAAACTGTTCATCGGAGACCTCTATAAAGATCTTAGTTTGTCCTTTCTTCATGAAAATATACTAATAGAAAATTTAATAAAACGAAGAGAACAGAGTATTTATTTTGTCTCAATTCTGATTTTTTTCTAATTTTTGAAAAGAATGTCATGAACTATAATTATATACACAATTACTATCCTTTTTCATTTATATCATGTATGGAAATGTGGTCTTAAAGTGTTTTCTCTAACTCACATTCCTGGATTTCCAGATCTAAGAGGACCCAAGCAGAGACCATAAAACTAAAGAGGATCCAGAAGGAGTTGCAGGCCTTAGACGACATGGTGTCAGCTGACATTGGAATCCTCAGGAACAGAATTGACCAGGCCAGCTTAGAGTATTCCTATGCACGGTGAGTGGGATAAGAGGTCTGAGCAGTCTGGCTTAGCTCATCATTGCTAGCCATGCTGGTGGGCTTTATGCACATTACCAGGAAAGCCTCATGAGAATGCCATCAGTAACATGCTGACTCAAGTGGCCACCTGCCCCGAGATAACCTTGCTGGAATTCCTGTTACAACACTTCCTGAATTACTCATCTGCATTTTAGTGTTTCTGATTAACCTTCAGCTCATTAACATTGGAGACCCTGAGCAGGATCTATCAAATTATATGCCCGATTAGCTTACTGCAGAACTATATGATTCTAACAACTAGTCTCTGTTCTTTCCATTAAAATTTTGACTCTTTGATGAAATTTTATGGCATTTGAGTCAAATTCTGACTTTATTTTTTATCAAAGTAAAAAAAATTAATTTATTTTGAAAAAGCTTTTGAATATAAGCTAGGAATGACGGTACATGTATATATTTCCAGCACTCAAGAGGCTGAGGCAAGAGGATCAGTGCAAGTTCGAGGCCAACCTAGGGTACAAAGTGAGATTCTGTCCATGAGTACAAAGGAAAATTACTGTGCATATTTTCTTTAATGTCCTCTAAGAACTGTGAAGTTTGTTTTTTTCTTGTTTGGTTATACTTTGTACAAAATGGTCTGCTATCATGTGCTTCCTTGGCTTTCAACTGTTGATATTTTTTATAAAGGAAAAAAGCATTGTGGAATATTTTTAAAATGAATAAACACATGTAAAGAATTACATGGGCTTTGCAAACAGATAAAAGGGCAAAAAATGGGCCAATTTCAGGGTTCTCGGTCCCTGTAACATCGCTTTAATCATCGCCGTTTGTCTTTTCTTCACAAGGGAATGCTGTGCTAATGACTCAGCTTTGTATCTTTCCCTGTAACACTAGAAATCAATCCGAATGCTTCATTAGTCTCGGGGAAACCACAGCCTCAGAATGTTTATAGAACAATTTAATAAAGTGGAAATGCTTGGTGATAGTTTTAATTCACTGTTTAGTGTTTAAAAGAGGCCTGTGGTTGTCCTTGTGACTTGGGTAATTGTTGTTTCCTTATATGCTATAAGACTCTGTGTGTTGGCTTTATTAGTGGACAGCCTAAATTAATGCCATCAGGAGCTGATAACCCGAAGTTCCCAATTTCTGTTACTGTTCAGGAGGTGACTAGAATTTTGTTACAAGTAAACTCAGCCTTAACTTTGAGCACATCTTATTCTCTGTAGCTGAGCTGCCAGGGGCTCATTTTCAGACCACTCTAGCCTCTCACCATAGTCCCGGGTCAGCAGGAAAAGAGAGAGAGTGTGTGTGTGGGTGGGTGGGGGGGTGCATGTGCACACTTTAAATGAGTTCTTTTATTTGAGATTATAATTACATCAGTATTTCCATCTCTTTCCTCAAACCCTCCAATATACCCCTCCTCGCTATTTTTTTAAATTCATGGCTTCTGTTTTTTCATTAATTGTTGGTGTGTGTGTGCATGTGCATGTATTCCTAAATACATAAAAACAGTCTGCTCAGTTTGTGTTTTACTTCTGTCCTGAGCAGGTTACAGAAAGATGTCTTTTTCCCATTGGATATTAGGTAGGACATGTTGGTTTTAGTTTTCCAAACCATAGAGAAGGTAGAAACACCAATTTTTATTGAAACTGCAAAGAATTCTTACACAGTGTTTCACATCATGTATTTTTATTTCATGTGTTTAATAAGCTAAAGGCATCATTTACATGATTCTGTTACTGACATAACTATATGAATGGATGCTGGTGTGTGAGACACTTTTTCAAGGCTAAACTCTGGAGATAAATCTGAGAAGCAATAGACTAGAAGTAGGATTGTGTCTGGTTCATTGATAAGATTAATACAGAATTTTCTATATTTGTATTTGTGGTTATTGAGGAATTATAAATACTTATAAATGTTTCCTATTGAAATGATTAGTTGCATGTGGAAATCGCATTTCCTTTTTATCCTTAGGAATACATTTTCACTCATTGCTTCATGGGATTGAAGAAATTCATTTGAGTGGACTATTCTGCATACTGACACTTCATTCCATGAACAGTTTTCCTACTTAGACTCCAGCTTCCTAGGACTACTAAATAGTTACCAGAAGTTATATGCCTTAAAATACCTGAAAGTTCTCAGCCTACATTTCTAGAATGAAAACTAGAAACCTGACATAACTGTGTTAACAGGGGTATGATTTCTGAAACACTTCATGGATTTCTTTTCCAACCTCTGATGACAATATCTATTCCTGAACTTATGGGCACAGTTGTCCATCCTGTGTCTTCATAGTCACTTAGTCACATGTTTCCTCCTGTCTCCACATTTTCCCTGCCCTCTCTTATCACAGGTTCCATGAAATTGTAATTGGGATCCACTGTAATTCAGAAACCTCCTCTCAACGGCCTCAATCACCTCTGTTCTCCTAGAAACTAACTTCTAAAGTTTCACAGATTCCAAAATTAGTATTTTGAGGAAGCAGCATTTTAGCTTACAATTATATTTGAATTTGTCTAGCAGCATCAAAATGCCTTTTTCTGTCAATTTTCTCTATTTCCAACATATGCAATAAATTTCAAAACTTGTTCAATTTTATTTGGAGAAAACTAAGAATGTTAAGATGATAGTATTACACATTCTTGATACATAATACTTGGAACTAAGCACTAGGGAACTAACTGATAATAAGTTATTTGGTTATCACATCATTTCTGTTTTCTTGATATTTTATTTTTTTATCATAGATGAGAGCTAAAACTTTCTGTGGTGATGGGATAACAAAATGTTTCAAGATAGAGGTAGAAGATCTCTTAGATCCTGGTTTATTAACCATGATTCCTCTGTTCTTAAGAAATTCTAAGAAAGGATAAAAAGCATATGTTAATTCATACAGACAGTTGAACTTTCCAGAAAAGAGAAAAAAGACCTGTAAATTAAAAGAGGATCAGTACAACCCAGTGGTATAGAAAGGGTTAAAAAGTGAACTTTTTTTAAACTTCAAAGATACCAAGACCAAGAGACGATTTCTAAAATCTTTAAATAACATTAAATCACTCTGTGTCCCCTTAAAATAACAAAACAATTCTGTAATTACATTTCCAGTTCAGTGTGCCTTACTGTCTAATGTATAATGATCTTATTATGCTCTTCCAGAGTACCCTTTCTACCCAGCTTCAGTATGAGCGACAAGACTCTTAGGCTAATCGTGTAGTTTGTGAAACTAACCAATATTTTAAACAACAGTCACTCTGTAGGAGAATATATGTACTTGTTTTAGACCAAAAAGACTTTAAATAAACAAAATACAGAATTTTAAGTGATTTATCTAGGGTAAACCCAGACCAGTGGTAACCTAGGGACCTGATTGCAAATGTTAATTTCAATTCCGTATTCATGTACCCAGTCTGTAAATCTCTACTGACTGGGGAGGCAGAGGTGAAGAGTTAGGGGTAGGAATAGTCCCAGAGAGAATGTGGGGAAGGCTAAGGTATTTGTATATCTGTAATGTCAGAGCTCTTCACTTAATGTGAAAACATTCATAAGCAGGCTATGTTACCAAATGTAGAAATAAAGAACCTAGATACCCAATAAAGTTCTTTTCGCATGAGAAGTTACTGAAAAGCTATGTATTCATTCTTATGTTTATTAGGTAGCAATAAAATAAAAGATGTATAATAAATGAGCACTCTGTAAAATTTAAAACTATAAATATCAGACCCCTAAATTTCCTATAGTTTCAGATAATGTCACTAAATGGCAATGCTGGTTTTTACTTGGGTGCTCTGAAGGGAAAATCAGTTTTGGGGGCACTGGGAAGGACTCTTGAGCTGTTTACACTGCTGAATCTCAGGCCACATATCTCTGTGACTCTGTTGCTGTCATTGTTTTGCACATAGACCCAAGGCTGGCTTCAGTAAGTACCAGAGTTGTGCTACTCGTTTTTGGTCTTTGCATGACCCCTTTTCTCTGAATCCTTCTGCAGAAATTCAAGTACTTCACTCCAGATGTTTACCGTGTTAGTATACTAGAGATTTATATCCATTCCAGGCCATTTCATTCACAGACCAACGACATTAAGAACTCCATTTAAACTGAGATAAACAAGGCCTTTCTGAGCCTCATTCTTAGTATGGAGAGATTGAGTGAAATGAATCTGATGGAGAGCCATAGCCAATAGCCATTCTGGCCCATGAGTGTGAAGGAGAGCTCAGGTAGAAATGGTGTGGCTTCTTAGCATTGAGAACAGCCTGTGACTCTGGTGACTTGCCTGTAATACTGCTCCTTGTATCCTGCTGTCAAAGTATTTTTCTCTCCCTTAGCTACCCTTTCCAGATAACTGTGCATCCAAAGACCAAAAGGGTATACAGAATGGACAACTGAGGACAGGTTTGAACCTTCAGTTCTCTACGTCAGAGCCTTTATAATTTTCATTGTGACTTCTCAAGATAGAATCTCTTACGTCAGGAGGTTTAGTTCTTTCTTATTTTCTGTAAATTATACTTAAAGTTGCATGTTAGAATTAGTGAAGTTAAAGACATCATCAAACTGGTAAGCTAGCAGGGCCTTCACAAATATTAGTGGTAATTAAATTGAACTAGTTGGTAAATTGGAATTTCCTTCCTTTCAGGAGAAGAAGAAACCTACTTCATTCTAAAGAAAAGTATCGTTATATAGAAGGTGAAGACATGATAGCCTTACTGTTTATAGCAATCTAATGCAGGGTGTTGGAGGGGATTTCAGGGTGGCTTCTTCCTAAAGTTTTGTTACTACACAAGAGACTGGCATTACCTATCCACACAGCTTATACCTCTGCAGATACATAAAATGGAGTTCCTCTCCTTCTCTCCCTCCTCCCTCCTCCCTCCTCCCTTCCCTCCTCGTATATGTTCGGCAAGTACTCTGCCATTGAGCTGTAGCCTCAGCCTATAAAATGTCTTTTACCTGTAACAGTAGACTGTTGTTTGTTGTATGGAACGACCACAGCTTAGCCTAGAGATTTTCAACTAGGAGTACTTGTGGTACCGGCAATGTCCAGAGAGACCTGGTGTCCTAGTTTAGTGTATGGTGGTACTAACAGAAAACACGGTGATGCTGTTCCGAATCCTACAGCCAACGTGACAGCTCCTCACTAGAGAGAAGTCTGCGGCCCAGATTATCAGTGTGGACTTGGAGGAGCCTTGCCTAAACTGACCCTGGCCTGTGGTTTCTGTTCTTGGTATTTACTTCTTGCCCTACTTGGTATCATTTAGTTGACTGTTCTCTGTCTTTATGTTCACTCCTTATGAACCTTATATTTCTCTCCCGGTCCATTAATTAAGAGACATGAATTTTCTACTTTTTTCACCTCTTGTTTTGACTCCTGTGAATTTAACCAACCTTGTATTTTGTGACTTCTACTAACTGTCTTGTGCTAGCTCACAGAGAGCAGGTTCCGGGTTTTCAGTGCTGTCACACAGGTAACCTGAAATTAGCCAGAGTGGCAGTATTTATACAGCATTGCACGGCAAGTGCCACAGAGCTGAGTGTTCTACCTTCCTCTTTGCCCCAGAACTGACCTGCCATCAAATGAACTCTCTTCACCTGCTGTCACTCAAGTACAGCAGACTCATTGGCAGTAAGTTCAAATAAGGATGTTGTGATAGCTTTCTAGCCTAGCTTTCCTTAGGTGTTGTCGGTTATTGTTAAATTATCAGTTCCATAGATTCATTGCATTTCATTTTGCATTTTGAGTTTGTTTCTGACCCGAGAAAGCTTCTTAACAGAATGGATGAACTGATGTTTGTTTCTGTCCTTATAGGAAGCGCTTTGACAGGGCTGAGGCTGAGTACATTACAGCAAAGCTGGATTTACAGCGCAAAACCGAGACAAAAGAGCAGCTCACTGAGCACCTCTGCACCATCATCCAACAGAACGAGCTCCGCAAGGCCAAGAAGCTGGAGGAGCTGATGCAGCAGCTGGACGTGCAGGCCGATGAGGAGGCTTTGGAACTAGAGGTGGAGGTTGAACAGTTGCTTCGAGAACAGGAAGCAGAGGCAGCCAAACAAATGGTTCCTGCAGAGAGGCTGTGTCAGCCGGATGGTGAGAATGTGTCTTCAGAACTGGTTGGGGAGAACAAAGAGCCTCAAAAGCAAGCTGCTTCACCCGAGACAGACAAGCCGGGCAAGTGTTGCAGTAGTTCTCCCCGTAGACTAGACTGCCCAGATCCAGGGGCCAAGAACTTTTCAGCTGCTGTGGCCACATGAGGAACCAGTGCTTTTTCAGTTAACGTATTTCCGGGGTAAATTTTAGGCTGTCTCTGATAAAACTTCTTTAAACTTGTTTGTGTTTGAATCAATGCTTAGTGTTAGTTAGTATGTTAACATGTCAAATCCTTCCAAAGTCACAAGTTGTGACTGGTTCATATCTAGGGACTGTTGACCCCTCAGTATTCCTTCAAGCCTTGTTTCTGAGTTAGAGTAAGTGACTCCCGGGGCGGGACTGCTGGGGGCCCTGGGTTTGTCTTCCAACACTACAAAACAAGCACAGTGGTAGGAGAAAAACTACATGGCTTCTCAGCCCTTGGCCAAATTTAGCTTGTGAGAGAACATTGAGACTGTATGGCCTTCTATGCAGTCATTAAAAAGACAAAAGTTCTTATATACAGAGAGGAGTAGAGAAAAACAGGTAAAAATTACCTATCTGGATGCTACTAGAGCCACTAGACAAAGCTTGGAAATCCCAACTTATGTAAGGAACCAGACAAGCTAAGCCAACATTATTTTCCCTTGAATTTGTCAGTAAATGGCTTCTTGTTTACACCTGAGTTTGGTTAGTTGATACACATCCATAAACAAACTGTGTATGTGTAGCTTTACTTTTACTGTACTTTGTTTTCCTTAATCAATGAATTAACAGATACAATTTAGACAGTGAAAGTGTTTCTAAAGTGACTGTAAAAATGGCAAGTCATTGATTATCCAGCAGTGGTGTGTTCCCTCTGTAAAGCTCTGTAACGTGGGCATTTATATGTCAGGTATTGATTCTGCTGTCATAAAGCATTGAAATCGTTAAAGTACTCATTTTCTAAGTGCTTTCATAGTTTGTTAATCACCTGTTCCTGAAAACTTGACTGGTGCATTGTGCTATATTTGAATGTGTATAAATATTTTAGTTTTGCCACAAATATACAAATATTACCTTAAATTATGATCAATTTATCAGAAATTACAAAAAATAAAAAATATGTTTCATTCATACAAAAGGAACTGTTATTAAAGGAGCTAATGATAGCTGTTTCTGTAATACATTGTAGAAAAGCTAGGGACATCCTATTTTTGAATTATTGTCTAAGACATTGTCTGGTAGTAAGTATGCTTTGTATTTTTCTATGACCTGAGCTACAAGTGTAATTTTCCATCACTGACTTCTAAACACAAACATTTATTCGATAGTGTTTTTATTTATGAATGAGACACATACAAATTTAAAACTTCATTGCCCAGTACAGTCTTATTTTTCTAAGGAATAAACAAGTCTGATATGTTTACAGTATGGTCTTTCATTTACCTTAAAAAATTGTTTCATACCATTGAATATGTGTTCAATAGCATGTGTGTGAAATCACACAAGAAATGCACTGTCTTCATCACCTAGTGGAGTTCTGTACTTCTGTTACAGTTTCTGCCTATCTCAACCCATAAAGTTCACTGTGTCCATCTACTAACAATTTTGTTTTCTAACTCCCCCCTCTATCTGTGTGTGCATGTGTGTGTGTGTGTGTGTGTGTGTGTGTACACTTGTGTGTGCACGTGTGTTGATGCTTTCAAATGTGTGCTGTAAAAGTTCCACTGAAGCCATTACTTTGACAGAGCATTGTCTCACCAGCTTTTCTCGGGTGGTATCTGAATGCTCAGGTGATGATATAAGTGACAGAATTATATTGCAGCAGTTTTATGCAAAGGCAGCTGTAGCCCATGTGTGTAAGGCTCCAGAGCAAGTGGGTGAGAACTGGAGGGTTCTGATATGAGGACCATATGCACTGACTTCCCCAGGATAGCCCTGGAACGCATCCTTTAAAATATGCCTCATCAGCTTCAGTCTATAAAGTCACAAGTATATTTTTGTGAAGGAAACTAGGCCCAAATGACTAATCGTCCTCCTGCTTGTCCCCGTTAAAAGGTCGTGTTTACCAGATAGTTGTAAGCTACACCTTCTGAAGAGCGTAATCCTGGTTTGAATTTGAATTTGAATTTATAGAGTTCTTTAAAAACTCGATTCCCTCCAACTGTTTTTGTTTGTCTGTTTTAAACTGGAGCTGTTTCTTTGGGCTTCAGAGAAGCAGAGTTCCTTTAAGAATGGTTCTCATTGTATTGAAAATAAGTTTTTTTTCTCTCTCAAAAATTTCACCTCTACATAATTTTGCTGAATTACAGTGCTTACAGGTAGTAAATCTGTTCTCAGAAGAGCACAGCTGATTTACAAGTCATTATAAAAATCTCTGATTGGGATCCCGAGAGCAGACCTCATTGCTGGATTGGCGTTTGTTTGACTTAGAGTTAGAAACTCAGCTCTAAAGCGCTTTTATTCTTTATTTGGAGTTAGCATCGTGGTCCTCTGCAGGAGCTTATCTGACTGTTCAGCCACTTCCTCTTTCATAGTATTGGCACAAAACTGACTCAAGTTATTCTGACGCAGGCCATTCCCAGTGACCTTTAGAAATCGTGTTTGGGGTTTTGTATTTCTAAGGAGCCAAGTCAGCATTTTAAAAAGCCCTGATAGATATAACTCAGTCTGCTAGATACGACCTGAGGCCACTCTGGTCCAGGGTAATTATACCTCCTCTCAGCATAGCTTTACCCCAGGCCTGACTTAGGCTGTTCTTCTGGAGAGATGGAGTGGAGTGTGGTGGGCCCCAGGCTACCTTCACCTTCACCGTCATGTTAGACTACTTTTGCAAGATCCTAGTCCCAAGCAGCTGCCTTCAAAATGCAATGTCATCTTTACAGTTGATCAGGCAGCTGCATGTAACTACTCATACAGACGTGTATGATCTATGTCCCTCTTCCCTAAGCTTATGGTCTAATTAACAGAATATGATTAACATCTGTATACACTGATGCACAGTATCTTTTAAGGAAAGCAAAGTAAGCTGCTAGAATATTGAACATGGATAATTCTTGTGATTTTTAGATATTCCATCTGGTTGTTTGGGCTTTATGACTAAGAACTACTACATTATTTTACTTCACTTTTAGTGATAAAATAAAACAATATATCCATGTTACACAATGAGTCAGAATGGAAGATTTTTTTAAAAGTCTAGTTACCAAAATAAGACTACAAAGAAGTGGGGATGGTTAGGTGTCATGTATTTAAAGTTAGACAACCCACGAGGGTAACCAGTACAAATCCTCATCAACTACTGGAAGGAATAAAGACAGTGTTATGATAAAAAATTGATGGTATCACATCTTCCTGGAAGGGAAATAACATGTAAAGGAGTTCACTACGGTTGTAGACGGTGTTGTCAAACCATGGGGCAGTAATTGTGTAAGCCAGGACAAGATAGAAATGTAACCGTGAGAAATGAAGGTGAGTCAACACGAGGCTTGTTGAAAGCTCAACATCAGAGAGCTCTCTCCAAGCCAAATGACTCCAGGAGCCTCAAATAGAGACAGAATGAAGCAATAAGATGTGACAGGGATAACATTTCTCAGTGATTGGAGACTGCCTAAAGGGGTACGTCGTTAGGCCAAAGGTTCATCATATAAGGGGTGAAATAACCCTTCAAGGTCTGGTGCACTGCCAGTCCGGGAGAAGGAAATGAGTCATTGGAGTTAGAGAAGTCATTGCATGAGCTATTACTTCAGACATTGGGTAATAATGCCATGTGTACAGTCCCATGTGGCCATCAGTTTCATCCAGCTTTCTGAGGCTACACCGGAGGCTTCACTTAAAAACTATTTTTTTACTTAGTCAAGCAAAAACAAAGCAATTCAGTCACCAACTTGAAAATCTGTTTAGAGAACTATGGTCTGCTAGATTTATGATGAGTTGCTTGGGCTTGGGTTTTATTGTTGGGAGGTGCTGAAGAATATAACTGAGTCATTTTCCATATGTTGGCTTGCTTACTTCACGTGCAATTCCTTCATTTAGATGTGGCCTTCGTGCCACTGAAGTCTGCAAATACCTTTGAGCCTTTTAGACTAGGCTTTCTCTGCCCTACCTCTGTGCTACTCATAAAAGACAGGAAGGCCCCTGGATGAGGTGGCCAACTAAACTCCATCCTATGTTGGGGACAGATCTGTACCCAAGGTAAGAGGTGAGATACTCAGTAATCATGAGGTGGAGAAAGAAATCTCCAACTGAAGGGAGCTGGAAGCTGACTGAATTCTTCCCCCACAGTATTCTAAGTCTTCCCACTTCAGAAGATAATAAAAGTGTGGCTAAAACTAGTTTCTGTGTGCCTTGATGTCTCTTGAGACACAGGGCAAAGCCATGTCCTAAACATGTCAGAGCAAACAGTGGCTTCTCAGGGTTCAGACCCTTTTCGGGTGACTTTGGCTTTCATTCTTAAAATCAGTTTGTAGGAAAAACAAAACAAAACAGAGGACACTGTAGGGAAATCCAAACTTTCCATCTAAGGCTTCAGTGACATTGGGAATTGGGACAATGGTGAGTAAGGGCAGTGTTTGAACAGTCTCACTACGTGCCTCTGGCTGCCCTAAGACTTGCTTTGTCTATGAGGCTAGTTGTGAATTTTGTCTGCCTGCCTCAACCTTCCAAAACTGAGATTATAAGCAAGAACCAGCACACTGGGCTATTCTTCTGTAATTTTAATCTATGAAATAAACTAGCAGTAGACAGATGAACAGGGAATACAAAATTTATCAACATGTAGAAATACAGAAGACATGTAGTATGACACCTGAGGAGAGGTAGTTGATGGTGGGATAGTTTTCAGGGAGAAGGGAAAGGAGAGTGTAGGCAATTTTAGAAGCAGAGCAAATCATTTTCAGTAAAACAACAGGCTTGGAAAAGCAGACAACGGCTTGGAAAGAGGCTCCTCTGTATTCTACATGATGTTAGACTTTTATTCTTCCTGTAATATGAAGTTGGCAAGGAAATTCTAGAAAGGACCTTACAGCCATTTCTCTTTGGTCGGGTAGATAAGAAAGAGGGAGAAAAAATCTCCCTGTGCTTGATGGAGGAGGTAAAGAGGCAGACTAGAAGCTTTGACTCTGAGGCAGCTTGTAGGGGTCCAGAGCTTGTCAAGACATCAATTTTCTGAGACCCTGCTCTTGAAGAAACTTTCAAATCATTAGGTCACTTCATCGTGAGTATCTGGAGAAGTACTCAGTGCAGAGAGACTTGCAGGTTCAACAAACTCAAATGGCTGCTCCAAGTGAATTCAAGCTACTTTGGCAGAATTGCATGGATGTTCTGTCTTTGCTGGGATCTGATTCTTGTGGCTGCTTGCTTGGTTTTGAGCCAGGATCTTCCTAGGTATCCCAAGCTTTTCTTGAACTCAGGATTCTCCTGATTCCACCAGTTCTGAACTTGTTTTGTCCCCAGCTCCAGCCTGAGTGTTGTCTGCCCAGGCTGGTATCTGAAACCACCAGTCCCTACTACCCAATCCTTGGGAACAGTATTATCATACCTGCAGTAACTGTTGGATTCCTCCAGCCCTGCTCCCTGTTAGTCACCTCTCACCTCTCCAAGGTCACCTTCGCTCTTCTAGTCTGTATGTACCAGGCAGTTTCTCTGGTCATAATACCTGCTTTCAGGGTCTCTAAGGCTTGCTGCCTTCTGGATCCCAACTAAGAAATACACTAGGAAATAATTGACTTAATACTTTAAAACCCCACACTCCAAAGCTTAGGAAGAGGAAGGGGTAAAAGAGTCCTGGAGCTCCCTGGAGACCACATGGCTTCTAACCCTCTGGCTTTGCCTTAAAATTGCCTCCTGTATCCCAGCCAGGGGAATTTTTATCTTACGTGGGCAGGGAAAAAAAAAGATTGGCTCAAATGGATCAAATAGTCTTCCAAATCTTTTTTGTCTGAAGCCTGAAGCTGAGCTTTTTAGACTCCAAAGCCAAGAATTTGTGTCTTTTGTTCTCTGACTCTGCTGTGACAACGCTCCCTTGAGGCACAGGATGACTCATGGTCTAACTGCCCAGAATTTTTCTTGGGGGCGAGGGGGTGTAGGGGGAGGGTAAAGAGTAACAGGAAATCATGGGGAAAACAAATTGGTTAATACATCAAAATATTAGCCTGCTACACTGCGATTTCTCTTTCCCATTCTCTGCTAAATGAAGAAAAACCCTTCTTCCTTGCTTACATTGTGTACTAGATAGGTTTCCTTGGAAGTAACCAATAGGAATCAGCTTAGTTCTTTTTTCCCCTTCCGGGGGAAATGAAATGCAGGCACTAGGGGAAGAGACGGGAGAGACAGGAGTCCCAGACAGACTTCCAGTTAGAGAAAACATTGATGCTAGGGAAATGTCTTTAAAAGCTGCACTTTCTCTGGTCGCCATTCATCTCCCAAAC